AATTGGAAGAGAGTGTTACAAACATGACGAAGGCGTTTAAAATACAAAAAAACATGAAAACAATTAAACTTGTTTTTAATAATCGTTCTTACAAACAAAGGGCTGTTCTTATAATTAATAGACCGGTCTTATAAATAAAGGACCGTTTTTATAAATAAAGTACAGTTCTCCTAAATAAAAGACAGTTCTTGTAAATAAGATACAGTTCTCGTAAATAATACACTTTTTTCTAAATAGGTGTCAGTTTTAAAACATGAATGTTTTTATTTTGACAATTTATTCAAATTTTCATATGTTTCATTAAAGGCTATAAAATAACTAACGTGCTTTCTTAACCAGTTAACTGTTATTGACGAGTATACTCATTATGAAAAAACGACGAAGTATGCTCGTCCAAAGCAACTAACTGGTTAACAAATTATGAACTCGACTAAGTCACCAAATCATTGAAAATCATAGTGCTACCGAAGAAATAATACTGAGAAGAAAGGATACTCGGTTCTGAAAGGACCCGGAGGGAGGCAACGGGGTTGCATAAAGGGAATAGACAAGACTCGGAGATCGTTGTAGCAGGGTTAAAGCGTGCTCCATAAATTTGCCATAAACGTGGCAGCCTGTGCAATAAAGGACTTTCAACAATAATTGCTCGTGAAACATTGGCCGCCGATGGATTCCGTGCATAAAGTAAGCGTGCGCGCGTTCGCGCGTGCGCGCTCGCATATACGCAACTGGCACACGCTCCCCTCAGCATATGGTGCATGGTTAGGTCCCCCTTTTCAGTTCCGGGGGAGAAGAAACGAGGGGGCTGCGGCGCGTGCTCAAAATCCCCACCACCTTTTCCTCTTCACACAACACGCGTCTCCCTTTCCGTTTCTCCCTCCTTCTCCCTCTCTCTCTCTCTCTCTCTTTCTCCACTCTCTCTCTCCCTCTTTCTCATTCCACCCTTCGTCTTACTCGCTCCTCTTCTCTTTCTGTCGGTTTCTGTCCCTCGTAGGTCCTAATTCCCCCTGTGCCCCCTCGAACCAGCCCCTCGTCACTCTATACTGCGGCAAAATGCTGAAACGTAACCCATCTATCGGATGTCCGCGCTCATTCTGAACGCGGACGCCATGCGGTGCGTAGCACGGAGGTCTGATCACGAGCTGCAGGCATTCCTCGGGAGAAGTTCCGTGAAAAAGTGACCGAGATACACGTCGATCGGTTCAGGTGTCGCAAAAGGGCCCGATAGCGCGAAGGAATTCGAAATCGAGGAGGACCGGTGGTGTTGTCGACGATCCGCGCGCGGTTTCCAAGTGCGATCGGACCAACGAGCAAATGGACCACGGCGAACCTTGGAAATCAACCCGAACGCTGGACGAAGAAATTGAATGAAAACTCGTGGAAATCCCGCCTCGAAATCGTCGATCTCGCATTGTTCGATCCTTTGTCGCGTCACCGGCCGCGGCGCGTGCTTACCCCCACCATCGACCCGTGCTCACCTTTCGTCCTTCTTCTTTCGCTCCAGCATCCGATGACATATCGCCCATAGTTCACGGCGAACCATAGTTTCCGACGTTTCCGTTCGGGATCGTCACGATGCGAAACCCGGCACGGCTCCTGTTTGAAGAACACCTCTCCGATCGATAGCAGATATCGGTAATCTCGTCTCGCTCGATGTGAACGGACGTACTGTGACAGTGTGACGTTTGCCTCTGCGGAAACTTTCGTGCGACTCGGCTCAATGGTAACGATCTCGGACAGCTTGGTCGCTCGTGAGCCGTAATAGATTTGTGCCTTATACTCGACCAGCGAGTGACCTTAGACGTACGAAGGAAATTGGTTGCAAGTGCCTTAATAATAGTGCTAAGACGTGAACGACGTTTGTTTGTGTCGTTACAGATCATTAAGGTCGTTTGAATCTTCTACTTAGAATTGTTCGTGTGCTTTCATCTGGTGCTTTTATACGCCGAATACGTGTATATCCGTCGAGGAGCGTGTGTGATATCGCTTCGACCGAGCCGTGTCGCGGCGGGAATTTGTTAAAGTTTCGACCACCGGCGCCGTTCGACCGCATTAACAATTACGATCGCGAAACCGGCGGTAATTCGAAGAAATTCTGAAGAACAACTTCCAGCGAAGTCGACGACCGAGTGGAGGAGAATAGACGGTGACCTCATGCTTTACTTAAGTCTTAACCGGCAGCGAGACAATTGGATCTTGGTTCGGGTCAGCAGCTTCGTCGTTTGGTACAGAAGCCGTGGCCCATTGGAACTTAAAATCTATCATGCGTTTCAACAGTCGCCCGTCGGCTGAAGCTTGAACGACGCCGATTGAATGAAACCGATCGACGACAGGTTTGTCGACGACACGTTGTTCCCGATTTTATGAGAACGTTTTCATAGTCTCCCAAAGAATCAGCCTTTGCTGAATATATTTTTCGAAGCGCGTCGTTATTGTAGGATAATAAGAACAATCTTAGAAACGGTCGTTCTACACGATCGATAGATCCTCTGACCCAGATACAAGCGTGAAATCGAACAGTCGACCAAACGTCTGTGTCGACTATAGCCGCGATGATCAAGGGAAGAGCGTGTTATTTATAATTCCGTCAATTAAACTCGTCCTCGAAAAGCATTAGAGTCGATAAACTACCCATCGACTCGTTACCATTCTCACGTTACTAGCTTCTTCCATAGCTTTCGCGGGTAGAAGGCACTAGATTTTAAGAAGAACCATTTTATGTCGAATATCGTTCGCTGGGTGAACCTTTGAATGTGTTCCCGGCCCTCCGACGCCGCGATAAACGAATCACGATGACGACCATGGGTGTCACGGTGTTTTGCAACCGAGTGCAACTGAACGGCAGCGACCAGGAACAAGTGATGCTTCTGAGGACTCTGCAGGACAACGAGAGTAACATAATCGGCAACCAGACTCACCTGGTTGTTCCCAAGAACAACAACAACACCAGCAACATGAACTCGAACTCAGTTCTGCCGCCTTACGACCCATCCAGATTGAAAAAACACGGGAAAAATGGGCAACCGCCGCCGGTCGCAGTCGCGAGGAGGAACGCTCGCGAGAGGAATCGCGTGAAGCAAGTGAACAACGGGTTCGCAACGCTGAGACAACACATACCAAGCCACATCGCTGCAGGTTACGGAGACAGGGGGAAGAAGCTGTCGAAGGTGGAGACCTTGAGAATGGCCGTCGAGTACATCAGGGGGCTTCAGAGGCTGCTGGCGGAAGCTGACGGCGTTGAATACGACAGTTCTGTCGGCGTCGGTCAGTGTGTACCTTCGCCCACGAGCAGCGTCATTTCCTCCAGTCACAACGGATCCGGGGAGAGATTGATCCTCGAGGACGACGTACTCGCCGGCGATGAGGATAACAGCGAGCAGCTGGACGAGGACGAGGACAACAGGAAGCAGAAACAGTCTAGGTAAATTCGCCGCGGCAGATGTTGGCTCACAGAAATTCAGGTCTGCCGTATGCAGTGGAACCTACATTAGTCGGAGCTTCGATATCGGAATTCTCTTCTGTCCGAATGCATTTCACGTGCAATCGGTTCTGTCTGACGCGAAACTTATACAAAACGATTTAATGTAGAAATGAAGATGGAATCTGATAACTAACAGGGACGTTTGTGAACTTGTAACATTCAAAAATTATGAAACGTTGCACATAAGTCGAGTACACTGTGCACGATACAATTATATATATTTTTGGCAATCGTACACGGTTGGAAGGGATGAGAACAGTCTTAGAAACAATTTTTATGTTCCCCTTTTTCGTGAAATATCTCAAGAACAGCAAATATTAACACTAAACCATACTATAACAGAATGATCGGTCACAAGTTTTATTTTAAAATTGTTGAAATTGTACGATTTTTTTCTAGGAAAGGGATCAAGAAATTTGTTATAATAATTCAAGCATGTATTACGATAAATATGGCGAAAAGTCTAAGTAAATTCAATCTTATCATTATTCTCACGGCAACGCATGTCGCTCTTACTGCTCTATAGGTTTAGTATTAAAAAAATGTTGAAACAAACATTGCATCGTTTCAATTCAATGTTAGATTTTATATTTTTAGTTATAAAAACTGTCTGCACAGTTCGGTAGACACAATAAGAAAGTGCAATTTTTGTTGCAACATGTTTATTGTTTTCGACATATTTCGCGGAAAAGAAAATATTGAAATTACTTGAAGGGCTACTTTTATCTCTTTAAACCGTGCATCATCAGCAAAAAATATATCTCTGTAATAAACATTGCATTACATTATGTTTGGTGTTTTTGGATTTTGTATGCTCACAAATGTCTCCCTAATCTTCTTTGGGAAAAGGAGTTACGATTGTTCGAGTCTTGCACTTCGTTTTTATAATTGTTGGCAACTAATTGTTCGCAACTATAAAAATGAGCCGCGAGGCTCAAATAATCGTATCTCCTCTTCCTAAATTGCCCATTTTTGCTTACCAGCTGAAGGAAAATTGGGGAGAATTTACTGTAACTGTTTGACTATCCAAGTGTTCCAGTGTATCTGTCCAGAATTGAAACTTTTGTTTGATTTTTCAGATTGTCGCCAAATCGAAGAGCAGTCCCCTCGCCGCACGATTATTACGCTTCTTCGGTAGGAGACGAGGAGAACCTGGAGTCGAGGACCCGGTCGAGCGCGCATAATTTCTCTCGACTCTCGCCTAACTCGGTGGCATCTCCGCCTTCGGAGTATTACGGCCAGAACGAGGAGAACCTGGAGCCGCAAATCCTGTCGCCGTACAGCGGCGGAGACAGCGAGGAGGGTGCAGCCACCGTTTTCGCAGCCAGCCCGGAAACCTTTTCCGGCGCGCTGTATTATAAACAGGAGATCACCGAGTCCGGTGAATTCATGGATGTAGTCAGCTGGTGGGAACAGGAGCAGACTAAGATGGTTCACCAACAACACACGCAACGCCTCACGCACGTCTAATCAGAACGGTGAGATTCGCTTTCCTTTTTATTAATTCTAAATTGCTGAAGAACGAAACATTCGACATATTGTTTATGTGTATAATAGGCCATCCTATAACAAACTAGTTCGTTATATCATCAATTCATTATAGAATACACTAATTGATATTGATATACGACATATTTCGTGATTGTTTATGTGTATAATAGGCCATCCTATAACAAACTAGTTCGTTATATCATCCATTCGTTATAGAATACACTAATTGATATTGATATACGGAGTATTAAAAGAAAGTAGTTCAATACTTTTAGGATTTATAGTACTCATCGAAAGAAAAAAAGAATCAACATAAGTTCAAAGATCAATGCTTTTCGTCAGAAAATCGACTTTTATTTGTTTCTGTATTAGTTTCTAACATTGTATCTATGAACCTTCTCTGTCACAGTAAGTTTTTTATATGTTCTCCCTCTGTTGCAATTGAAAGTTTGCATCTACGGAGCATTGATCGGCGTATATCTGCAAGTATTCCTCTCAAACCTCGTACTGTTTGATTGAAATTCTTTTATATTAATTATGGTTGATGATTAGACCATTGTTTTTAAGGGTTCTCCAAAAATAAATCTAATGGGTTTAAACCATGAGATCGAGGAGGCCATTCTATTGGACCTCTTCGCTCTATACAACAATCTACTACCTACTACGAAATTTCCTACAGCAAAGTAGGTTTGTATTTATGAAAGTATTCCTGATGTGTCATGTCTCGCAGAGGAACTCACTCACGTTGTCGAATATTCTTAGATATCAAAGGTCGATTTTCTGTCGAAAAGATTGATTTTTGGACCCATGTTGATTGGACATTTGTTACTCTTCTCGGTTAGTAGTATAACTTTTAACGCGCTGTATGTTCTCAATATTTACAAGCGCTATCAAAATGTAGTAAACTTATAATCGTAACGAAGTCTCTCATTGACTGATGTTCCATAGTGTTATCTTACGAGAAAATTGATCATTTTTTACTCTAATCAATAACAGCATGCACAAAGATTATATAATACGAATTATGTTATTTTTGGAAGAAAAAATTCATCTCTGAAGGATGAATTCATTCAATAATTCGAGTTTTGTTCGAAAAGTGATCGATCGGCGAACCGGATGAGCGAGAATAGAAAAGAGCAGTGTGTAATTGTTCGTTGTCCTCGTACATTCTTAATAGATGAAGCCCATAGTAATTTAAGTGGAGTGAAACGAGCAACAGGGATGCTGATCGAAACGCCACGGCGCACGTGACAACTACTCCGGACTCCGGAGGAAGCGTCGCCAAGTGGAAACTCGTGTTCACCGCTGCGCTTCCTCTCGAACACGTGCTCTACCGGCGACGCTCCCGAAAATAAACTTTACGCGTTGTAACCACTTTGCGAAGTGCGTGGCGACGTGACACTTGGCTGCCTGTAATTATTCCGTACGACAGACAAAAGAGTGTTAACCTCTTACCACGTCATCTTTTCATTTTAACCGAAAAGGTTACTCAAGAGGGTAAATCGTCTTGACTATCTTGAAATGTGCCACCTCTTTGAACATTTTTTAAAGATAATTAATAAGTGAAGCGCTTCGGTTTTTCACAGATAATGCTGACATAACGTTTACCTTCATTTTCAATCCTTTTTTAAACATAATAATGAAAATGTCAGAATTATTGGATTGACGCCATCGCTGACAAAAAATGGAATGTTCGAAAAGAAAAAATTTCTTTTATTTTTTACCTAGAAGGTACTGTTGAAAGTGCAGCATGAAATTTGTAGAAAATTCTATCATTTGTAGAAATGGCAGCAGATGTAATGGAAAAATCACTTTTTACCTTAGAAAATTAACTTTGTTCATCTTTAGTTTAATAAATATTTTGGATGTCTGAAAAATCCTACACTGCATTTTAGACCTGTAGCTCACAATCGGACAATGAACAGCTACTGAAGAGGTTTGCCAAGTATGGTGTTAATCGGCTTATTGGTTTTCGATGTACTGTGTTCACCAGCTCGGAAAATCTCGTCTCAAGGAAAACGGGAGTCGTTCTATTTCAAGAGCAAAAGCGGCGTCGGTTCTCTGAATTTGTATTTAATGCGTCGAGATTATATTATATTTTTAATATATGATATATATTTTTACTATATGATATATATTTTTAATACATGAAAGCATCAAGCTTCATCCAGATAGGCCATTCGGTATTTTGAAGCCGTCAAAGTAGAGGGGACTGCTTAAAGTATACGGTTGCGGTCTTTATCTCGCGATAAGATTAAATGCAAGTGCGTACTTGTACTGCTGCTCAAGAAGTAAGTTGTTGTTCAGGAGAACATGTGACAGAGAAATTTCAAGTTCACGCTGGCTCGATCCATTTCGGCGTGTGGCGCTACATTAAAGGCAAGTGGGCAGCCATAAACGGAAGTGGCTCACCGTTTTGCCATATGCTAGGTTCCCCGAAATATCTCGCTTCTAGACCTTCCTTAATCTTTTAGGTCTCCAATTGCCCGCTATTGATCCGCTTCCTCCTTATGGATCACACATATGTCGCTTGTACTGTGAACAGGCTTTATCCTATTTAGGTTAGTGCTGCGAATGGATTACGGCACAATTAATAATTTATTTGTAATAAAGTTTTAAACATATAATAACAAATTACTCGACACTCTTATTGATGCTCTCACAATACTCTTTACTTTCTTATTTCTCTTTCTCTCTCTCTCTCTCGCTTCTTCTCTCTCTCTCTCTCTCTCTTTCTCTCTCTCTCGCTTCTTCTCTCTCTCTCTCTCTCTCTCTCTCTCTATCTATCTATCTATATATCTATCTACTCTACTCTACTCTACATTCTCTTACAATTTGTTCTCACTCACTTACGCTTTGTTCTCTCACTACTTTTGTTCACTCTCTCACACTCATACTACTCTCGTTCTTCATTCTGATTGACATTCATACAAGTCTCACGCCAAATTCTCTATCGTACCACAATATTTACTTTCACCTATTCTCACACAACTACACATCCTGATTATCAAACTTACTCGCCACGTCATTTATAATGTTTTACGTTAATCAATGATATTCTGTGGTTTTCTTTTCCACAAGTGCAAAAGAAAAATTCGACTCGATTTATAGTGGAGTTCGAGACATTGTTAACAAATCAATATTACTGCTTATCGGATGAAAATATTAGGTGGCTTTTACGTTTCTAAATTCGATTATATACGTTTTTATTTAATTTCTACATTTTGCAGTATTAATTTACTTGTTGGTATAAAGTCTCCTTTATTTCACACAATTTTTAATTTACAAGATTCTAAATATATTGAACATACTAGATTCACATACTAAATAACAATTACCATTAACCGAACATATTTTCGTCATCTTTTGTACTTTCATTTGCGATTGAAACAGGTTGTGACAAATACAATTTCTTTATTGACGCAAAATGACGCTCTCTAAATTGCCAATGAATTTACAAAGACGCAAAAAAAGATGTGCCTCATACAACACATGTTCGCACTTATTATGTTCGTATTAAACTTTTCACTTCTTTTAGTGTGTATGCAACGACTTTTTTCATGTTGCTTATAACATTAATGTGTCCCGCTTATGACTAACCCAAACAGAGTTGTCTCATTAATAACACATAACTATCATTTATAACTAAAACCATTTGAACCAAAATATAATTGTTATGAACGACGGTTTTTTATATTAATCGTAACAATTACGGTCGGTGCAGTAAATATTGCATGCGCATAAGCCGGTACGAAATCTTGTTAAC